CATACAAAAGTTAGACTATTTTCTAGTCCACATTGACTATATTACTTAGACTTATACCACCTCACTTTATCTTTCCATTCTCTTGGCTAGCGTTTGACCCTAGATTTAGTTGAAACTTAAAATAACAAGTTTTTGAAGTTGAAAAAATAGTTTTTGGAAATTGAAGTTGTATTTAGACATGCATTTTCTTTGGAAAAAAATATTGAAGTTTTGAGAGTGGAAGTGAAATTTCACCCAAAAACTAGTTAGTACTAAATTTTATGAACAAACAATGTGTTCAATTATTGTTTTGAAAATCTATGGCCAAATGGAAGTCGCCAAGGTAGTGTTGTAGATTATAAGTTGCTAGATTTGATAATAAGAAACTTTGGATTTTCAGACAGTGGAGATAAAAGTGAAGATGGACTGTGAAGGCTGTGAGAGGAAAGTGCGAAGGTCTGTTGAGGGAATGAAAGGAGTTTCGTCGGTGACAATAGAGCCTAAACAGCACAAGCTCACAGTAGTAGGCTATGTGGATCCAGAGAAAGTTGTGGCTCGTGTAGCCCATCGCACAGGTAAGAAGGCAGAGATTTGGCCCTATGTCCCATACGATGTCGTTGCTCACCCCTATGCACAGGGTGTTTATGATAAGAAGGCTCCTGCTGGATACGTGCGAAGAGATGATTTCCAAACTAACCAGCTTGCTCGTGCTAGTTCTACTGAAGTTCGCTATACTACTGCCTTTAGCGATGAGAATCCTGCAGCCTGTGTGGTCATGTGAACTAAAATACTGCTGCTGCTGCTATGATTACTATATTATGAATCTTGTACCATAGTACATTAGTACTCTGTTATTGTTAAATTTATATTGGTTTGTGCTGTTGATTCCTCCTTTAAGTTTTGATCATAGTGCTATTTTCTGTTGAAGCTGAAGTTTTATCATGATTGTACCTACTGTATTGTTATATCAATGAGTATTCTGTTCTTGAAAGATGAAATGGAGTACTGGAACCAGTTAAATTGGCTGTTTCTGTTGCCACAAACCATTAGATTGCAGGGAGAAAGGAAACTGTGAAGTGATTTCTTTGTCATTGAAATTTTCTGTTTACAATTGTTGCTTCCATTAACAAAAAGATATTGTTAACAGTGTTGTGATTGACATTTAGATATAAAAAAAAAATTGAGTTCTATGTGAGTTGGGTATGCATAACTGTTGGATTTTTCAGATTGTTGCCTTTTATAAAGCATCAGTGCATGCCAAATTTTTTGTTTCTTTATAAAGTCTTAGTGGGAATTTAGGTTGGAAAGTAATGAGTGATGGACTATTTGGAAAACTCTTTGGAGTAATATGGAATTTCTAGCTAAAGAATGAGTCAATTCCCTAAATGGTCACCCAAGTTAAGAGAATTGCCTTGAAATATCATTTATGTTTCATTTAGGATCAAAATATCACTCAACTATCACTATTTTCCTCCAAATATATTTGACACTTTAAAAGCCTCACTCTCTCCTAATTGGCATGACATTAAGATTTTTTTTAAAAAAATAATAGACTAATTTAATTCATCAAACTCATTTAACTAAAATAATGATCATATTAGTTTTTAAAAAAAGAATATTAGTTTATTAAGAATAAATTTTTATACTTAAGAATCTTTTATCATAATTAAACTTTTTATTTTTTTATGTTATGAAGAATAGGTTTTTAAAACGTACTATAATATCATCAATTTTGAATATTTATAAACACGTACATTAAAAAAAAAAATTGATATACAAATCACTCATGAATGCTAACTTACATCAATTAATCATAAATTGTTTAATGAATCAATAATATTAAAGGTCAATTAACGGTTACAATAATATTAATTGTGCGTACCATTTTATTTTATTTTTTGAAAAAATAGAAAGTGAATAATATCATATTTTTTATCCAAAAACAAATACTAAATGCCTCAAGAGTTTTCTTCTATTCTAGTTGATATTTCATGTCATTAAATCATCATTTAAAAAAATAATAGACCTATTTAATTCATCAAACTTATGTCTCTACAAAACAAATATATAAATTACATGAGAATTTATGAAGATTATTAAAAAAAACCTAATTCCTTATATATTTTTACCAAACAAAATTCAATGAAAAAACTTCTTTGTGCAATTATTACCTGGTAATTTTTAAAATTCCTAAGTAAATTATTCAAAAAATTTAAGCAATTTTTTTCATAAAAATATTCAAATAAATTTGTAAGGTTGACAAAAAAGTTGGTAAGAAAGAGAAAATTATTATTTAACTTTTTTTAATTTATTTTTTATTTTTATTCTTTTATTCTATTATATTTTAACTTCTCATACAATTAAACACCAATATATATTCTTATATCATCCCAAATTCATGAAATACAAGTAATAATTAATTGAATTGCCTATTTTAATTCAATAATATACATATTATATGAGATTAATATGTTGATAAATAAAGATCAAAATTTTATTTTCTAATATAAATATTATTCACTTTCTATTTTCTTTTCAAAGAAAGATATTGTAAGTATATATGGATTTCAAAGCACCCAATTAATTATTTTTTAATAGTTAATAGACCTTCAATATTATTGATCCATTATATAATATATGATTCATTGATGTAAGTTGACATTCATAAGTGATTTATATATCAATATTTTTTGAATATATTTTCTCATAATTATTCAAAATTGATGACATTATGGTAAGTTTTAAAAAATTAT